TGTTTGGCAGGCCCAGGGCTGGATTCGAACCCACCACCTTAGGTGTATGTGGCTGGCGCCTTAGCCACTTGAGCCACAGGCGCCGAGCCGGAAACTAGTTATCTAAAGTCTGTACTTTTAGCTGAATACAAGTTAACTGAGCTCAACTTTCCTACATTTGGTCTGAGTGAGTATATTGTATGCTCTGTTCCATGTTTTCTGATTTTTCACAGTTACACAGCTAATTGTTGATTATCAGTGCAAATGGAAAGGAACATTATTTTATTGTTTTATTTTTTCTTTTTTTGAGACCAGAGTCTCACTGTGTTGCCCTTGGTATAGTGCTGTAGTGTCATAGCTCACAGCAACCTCAAACTCTTGGGCTTTGCAATTCTCTTGCCTTAGCCTCCAAAGTAGCTAGGAGTACAACAGCCGGCTATTTTTTTTTGCAGTTGTCATTGTTGTTTAGCTGGCCTGGGCCAGGTTTGAACCCACCACCCTTGGTGTATGTGGCTGGTGCCATTACCACTATGTTATGTAGGTACCACGCCAGGAACATTGTTTTAGATATTTGAAAATGGCAAATGAGCCACATTTCCAGTTTGGGCATGGAGTCTCATTGTTTGTGATAGGGAACAGGTTTAGGTGGCCATTGGCTGCAGAAGGAAAAAACTGCCATAAAAAGATAACCTATTTATACTGTTTTCTCCCGTACTGTCCCTGGCATGTAACTTGCTGTGAACTTGTTTTGAGGTCCTGTTTTGAGGACCTAGAAATCATCTAGGTTCCTAAGAAGAGCTTGTAATACACATTATTTAGCATGTAGTGAACAGTTTACTCTGCTGGACTGATCAAATGTTGGATAATCCAATTTGTGAGATCAAATTAAGTAATTTAGCCAGTGAATTCACTTGCTTGATGGTTTTAGAATTTAACAACAATTCTCATAGAATCTGATACCTTAACCTTTGGGCTTCTGTAATTTTCTGTAAATTATGAGCCTTGTAAAAGTGAAATAATGCCTCTTATTTTTTATATGGAATGGAAGAAAATTGGTCATCGTAAGTTTTTGCAATTGTGGGCATTCATATTGATTTCCCTTTTTTCAGCTTTACTGTCTGCTACAAGCCTCTTTTATATCCTGTCAGTCATCTTCGTTGGGCTGCTCTACACATACTACACCAAACCAGATGGCTGCACAGAGAATAAGTTCTTCATCAGTATTAATCTGATCCTTTGTGTTGTCGTTTCTATTATATCAGTCCACCCCAAAATTCAGGTATGATTGTTTTCTGTTGCTTCCTCCAGTTTTTATTTACTGCTAAGCTTAAAATCTAGATAACTTTTTTGTGAATTTGTGTCTAAGTTTATCTACTTAAACATTTTTTCATATTATGATAAAGTCTTCATAATTTTAATTTTGTAAGTATACAATGTATCTTTGACTGCCTGTATCATAATCAAATGAATTTCCCTATCGTGAAAAAACCTGGGTAACATAAGAGTGTATAATTCTTTTTTTTTTTTTTT